TGCGACATATCGTGCGTGATATCTCGCGCGTGATTTCCGCGCGGCGAAAACTGTGAAAAGGTGACGCACGAGGCGCGCACAAGGCGAGGAGATAAAATTAGACGTGAGTTGACGTTGAGACCACGTTGATTTTAATGCGCTGTTAAATCGTTCAATTTTCGACGGATTTATACGCCCGACGGAAAGAAACAGGATCTGGTGAGCAAGGAGAGACTGATAATCGATCAGTTTCTAGATTCCTCGCACGGGCCAATAAGTCGGCGCGGCAAAAAAGATAATGCGTACCTCGCGGTAATATAGAAATCAAACTTTTTCGTTAGGTCCTCGGGGAAACCGAGATAAAAACGCGAGAGCCGGACGGCAAAACGTCTAACTCGATAACACGTTTGGACACATATATGAGCGCTGGTAAATCAGTAGTTTAGATTTAAATTCGTCGGCCGGCTTTGAGCCATTAATGTGGGATTAATTATATACAACGTGTATGTTCCCGGAGGCACGCCGTGAGCCGTGATTGCTACATTCGGGCAAGTAGATAAAAGCAAGGTGTGTAACGATCAACTCTCTTAGTTTCGTTCGGCGGATCGTAAGAAATCCTGCAGCTTTACACGTGACTCAGCGCGCGCGCGCGCGCGAAATCTTTTCCTCCGGAATTTTATCGTCGGCTCGAGAAAATATATATACGGAGAACAATATTTTGCTGGCACGACAAATTGTTGGTTACTATAAGGGCAGCGAACAAATTTGCTTGGACGGCGAAAAGATTTGTTAAGAGTAGTAATTGCTACTTGCTGGATCTACGTAGACAGCGGGGATAACTTGGTTACGCCGAATAAATTTTATCGTTGCCACAAGAATGATTTTGCTAAATAGCAAAATTACATTTTCCGTGTAACCAATTTTATTGTTGTCCATAATAACTAACTATTTACCGTACCGGCAAAGTTATTTCGTCCGTGCATAAACACGCGAACACGAGTCACGGTTAAAAAAAAAGTGAAATACTTGAATGCGAAGACGCGCGCAGAATTTGCGTTCGGAATGAACTTCTTCGGCGTTCTTCGTTTTTATCACTTCTTAAATTTCCCCTTCAGAAAATATCTCTGAACACCGATCGCGTAGGTCACGCGCGGGTCGCGGACTTTCATCGATCAATGCTTCTGGTGTTTCCCACATTTTCATTTCATAAAAAGACGATTACGCGAATACCTCAACGCGATGAAACGGATTGTCGGTTCGCGCCCGCGGAAAATCGCGCGATCGCCGTCCGTTCCCTCGGCTTCGACGTTCTTTTATTATGACATGCCGGCGATTATGAACGTAAAGTGTTAACGATTATCCGCTTAACTCACTGACAGCTGACATTAGCACACGAATTCCCGCGCGAAGCGGCCAGTTCTCGCGAGTTGCTTTTGAGATACTCCCCGTTCTATCTGCCTTCACCTTTCTACGGGTGATAGGACGACGGTCTGTGTACACGTCGCTCCAAAGCTGTGCTCGGCTTGAAATCGAACGTACTTTTGCTCTCGGAAGACGTCAAATTTATCATTTCGCAACGAGAAAGCCACCGTTCGTGTGTATACGTGTGCAATTATTTACTTATTTAATTATTCATACGCGAAGTATTCCTTTTGTACGGTAAGTTACGGAGTACAAATTTTGTGTTAAATTTGGCACGCAATTTTTTACTATGCGGAGCGTTTGGAGGATGATCTTGTGAAAGAGTCCCACATTTACAATCCCAGACTCGAGCAATTCATGATTCGTACGATAGAATCAGCGTATTTTATGTTAGATTTGAACGCTCGAGACTTGGAAGAAAGGGGGCTCGCGAAACGGTCTACATTTGAAGCATTGAAATTGATCGAAGTCAGTAAGCCAAAGCTTCTCTCCTCCTTATTGTAACGGCCGGGAGCAGTCGTTTCATACACCAAGAAAGCCAAAGCTGTCGATATCACCATAAATTATATAGAAACGTTACAAAATAAATTCGTCAGCAATATAGTGAGAGAGCTATACTTTGTAAGAGAGAATGTCAAGGTGTGCTCGATGCCGAAAGGTGGGCAATTTTCCGATAATTTCAGACGGAACACGGATAACGCCACGTCCTGCCGCGTACAACATATAGTAATCTTTCGACGGATTCTGCCCCCGAGAGATGCTCGTCCGCGTTCCCGGTGTGTCATGAAGGTCCGAGAACGCGAGACACATCTGAGCCGCGCTCTATCGGAATTGGAACGTCCTGGCACAGCCTGAACATGACGCGCAGATATATATATATATACACATTTCCACGTTTCGCGCTGCAATTAATTACAAACGTCGAGAGCGCGGGGAGCAGCGACCCAATTGTTCCGGCGGCTCTTTGAAAAATCGATCGGAATCAGGCCGAACGAGCCACGATGAGCCCCGTCGTCATCCGTCTACATTCTCCGCGCTGTCGAGAGTTAACCCGCTCGTTCCCGTCCGTGGATTTTCCAACTCACCACGGACTCACCGCCGTCGCTGCGACGAGAGAGGAGCGTGCAGGAGCTGATGATCTGATTCCTCGCAATCTCCCAGTGTGCCTCGTTCACGATCGATCGTTACGGTACGCGCGCCGGTGCCTCGATTATCCCCGAAATTCGTCGCTCGTCGTCGTAGCGCCTCGAGGTGGTCCCTCGAAGAGCGGTCCGATGCGTGCGTTCTTCGGGAGATCAAACGAGAACGCCCGGAGGAGGCATGCTGCGGCCTCGCCGGCCATTTCGTGACAATTAAAAATCCCGTAGAGCTAACGAAGAGCTACCGGAGAGTACGCGGTAGTACAGAAATACGCGTAGATGCGCGCACACGACGGACGAGAGTACATACACAGGTGACTCTTCTCGAGAAGAAAGAGAGATAGAGAGAGAGAGAGAGAGAAGGGGAGGAGAGAGGGAGGGATAGAGCAGCGACATGGGAGGAGTTCCCTGCGAGTGCTCTCTCCGTCTGCGGAGAGACCACTCTCGGTGGCAGAGGTGGTCTCTGCTCACCTGAGCGTTTCAGGTGGCAGTTGCCCTGCTGAGTCGCTCAGCGACGGGTTCTCCTCCGTGAGCGCCGCGAGCGCGATTCGCCCAGCCTCCTTCGCGCCGTTGCACGCATGCGAGAAAGACTTCCGCTGTGAGAGAAAGAGAGAAAGAAGGAGAGAGAGAGAGAGAGAGAGAGAAACTTGGATAACTTCCGCGCGATGCGGAGGAATCGCGATTCCCATTTACGATAACAACAACAACAACAACTACTACTTCCTGAATTCTCCTTCGTAAATCGACGAGGCGGCGGCGGTCGGGTCGGTCTTTCGAATTGATGCGATACCGCGAAGACGCTTGAGATCTCGCCTAATTGCTAAGTCCTGCCGGTTGAACGGTTTTATTTCGCGAGGGAAAGAGAGAGACAGAGAGAGAGAGAGAGAGAGAATCGACTGACCGGGTAGCCCGAATCAAATTGTCCGGACTGATTAACCCGATCGGGCCGGCTCGATCAAAGAATGATTCCGGGCGGAACAACGGTAGATTAAGAACAGAGAGACGTGTGTAGGTGCGGATCCGGCCGAGAAGAAGCGAGGAGGAGATCATCGGTGAAGCAATCTCGGCTAACTAATTATTCACGTCGATCAAGTGCGGTCGCTCTGGAAAGGAGGACCTCCCCGCGCGCTCCTTCGTCGCTTCGCCCCCGGGAGGAGACTTTAGGACCGTCGCCGAGACCCTCGGAATATTCTCACGACCGCGTATCGCAACAGTATGAGAAGTAACGGGCGATCCTCCCGCGACGCTTTCTGATCGAGACAGTCGATTGGGATTTCGGCGGGGCCCGAGCGCGCAGAAAGTGAACACCGATTGGAAGATTCAATCGATGAGATGATCGAGCAGCCGTCCCGTCCTCGTCAGCAAGGAAAAGCAACCGCCGATTCTTATTAAGCCGAGAGGCGCAATCCTCGTGGCTACGATCTATAATCGGAGGCAGGCGCGCGCGCGCGGCCGTTCACGAGCGACGTATAAATTTGTCGCGTGAAATCGACTCGTCCGACGGCATTCTGACGGAATTATCGAGGTATCGCGTAATAGCGAGCGACACGGAGAGCCGGTAAACGCGGCTGCAAAAGGCGCTCGCGGCAGCCGCGCGCGCCAACGAAAAAGCCGGCCGCCGGCGGGATTGACACGAAGCCGCGAAACGATGAAGAAAGTGTCGTCGAATAACGAAAGAAGGTATCTCTAGAAGAGCGCGTCCCCCGGCGGAGAGGATACACGTGCAAGAACGTGCATGCTGCGGCCCCTCGTTAACGGACGAAGAAAGGGAATCGGCCGGGAGAATCAAGTTTCTACGACTTCTCTACACGGATTCCGACTCGGCCCGAGGCGTGAGAGAGAAGCGAGGGAAGGAGAGGCTATTTAATTTGCACAAGATCCCTCCGGAGGGGGGGAGGACGATTTACACGGGGGGTAATTGGCGGCCTGACACGCGCGCCTGGTGAGAATGCGAATGAAAAGGGATATCGAGGAGAACGCGGCCGTAATTCTCGCGGCGATCAAGGTGACAGCGGAAGCCAACACTGTTATCGCGGATAATTGTGCCGATAATCACGCGATCGTAATTCAACGGCCGCGACAGACAGGCCGACACAGGTGTGTCATCGGTAGTCGCGAGAGCGACCGACCGCCGATTGATCGATCGATCGACGGGCCGATCGGGTGTTAAAAAAGTCCGCGGCGTAGAATCCGCGAGAGGAGTCTCGCGTGTGAAAACATCATCTATTTATCTACTTATCTGTCTCTCGTTTCCCGGGAGGATACGATAAGTCGATAAGGCTGAGAATCGGCGCCGGCCGATTCCCCGTGCGCTGAATGTCACTGAGAATCAGTGAAAAATCACGAGTCTCTCCGCGGCCGGGTGTTGCCTCGCGCGGAATCGGCTTCTTCCAGTGCGCCGAGTGAGCTGCTAATGAGCGATCGTTAATCACACACGCATACAGCACGCGCAAGTGGAGTATGATGGGAGAGGTGATCCGTGTTTCCGGCAGGGCGACGGACGTCGGGGACTTCCTCAAGGAGGCCATGCTGTCGCAGCGATTCGCGGACGTCGCCCTGTGCTGTCCCGGAGGCCAGAGGTTCCTCGCGCATCGCCTGGTCCTGTCGGCCGCGAGCCCTTATCTACAGGTCGGTATCCGGCCTCGCGGAAGAGGTGTTTACCACGCGGAATGATATCGACGGTTCCTTCTCTCTCTCTTTCTCTTTCTGTACTAAGAAAAAAGAGCGATCGGACCGACGAAATCGACGGTCACCTTCGCTCGAAAGAATACCGCGTCTGCTGAACGCAACTTACGGGTTACAGCAATACGCAGTAAAAGATTTTGCGTCAACACGCGTTTTAACACGTTTCACATCTTTCGAATAGTCCAGTAAAACTTTTGCGTTAATTTAACGCAAGATGAATATATTGGAAATATACGGAAAAAAAAGTTTGGACGAATTTAGACAGACAATGGACAACAAACCGAACGCGTTTTGGTCGGAGGAAACAGAATTTCCGGTTCTTGTGATCACAAATTTAATTCTTGTAACTGGAAATTCTGTTTCAAAAATTAACACAGAATTAATACGTTAATCGACACTGAAGTGTAAAACGCGTTATATTAACATTTACACGCTGGATACCGATATAACACAAAATGCCGAGATAACATAAACACAGTAAGTTAACACACGGGTATGTTAAAAATTTCACACAGAAATTTGAACAAGAACTGATCATAACACAAGTATAAAATGGTTTTTACTGTGTACGTTGCGTTGATATAGTGCTTGATAACAATTTTGTATGTTTAACACCAGAAGTACTGAGCAGTCATTTCTATTTTTTAGATTAATATCCTATTTCTTGTGAATCCTAATAAAAGATAGGATAGAATAAATATATAAAAAGATAGGATTCTGAAATTTTACGACTTTTCAGCAAATATATTTAATAAAGGAAATAATTGATAATAAATCATAAAACTTCGGGATCCCATTTCTCACACAAGAAGTCAAAAGTATCAGTCTAAAATATTGAAACGTTCAGAAATGATCGCTCGGCACTTTTAGTGTTGAATAAAATCTCGTTGATTCTACCACTTTTATTTCTCAACGTATCTCTTCCGGAAGCCGCTGGCGATCTTGACTCGGCTCTCGATTAACTATTTTCCCCTGCAAAGTCTCCCGGTTACTTTGAGATGATAAATCGATAATTAAATAGCGTTTATGGCCGGATTAAATCATAAATCGCGTGATTTTAACGGAAACGGTAAATATTGATTTTTTTACCGCCCGCGGATAAAGTCAATAAACTACCCATTAGTTGCAAGAATAAGTTCTAACCGATAACAACGAATACACACACACACACGCGCGCGCACGCGCTAGATTAGATATATTATATTATTAAAATTCACATTTCCTCCATAAGTATCTCTCTCCCATGAATTATGAAAATCAATTCATGGAGAGGAGATAACCGAAGCTATTCACACGATTTGATACAGCACATCGTCCTGGATCTGTACGTGACTTATTAAACGTTGCGTATCATTTTTTGCGGATTTTTCAAATGATTATCAAGCACGCTCGTCGCGGTTGAAAAGAGCGTGCGAGGCCTTCCGGCGGCTTATCCTCGGTCGCCGGTACAATAAAAGGCGCAATAAAAGAGAAAAACGGCTGTTTAATTAGCAGGTTAGTTACCGGATAACATACCGAACTGTTAATCTCGCTGAACTCGAGCAATGCAAGCGCATCTCTCTCTCTCTCTCTCTCTCTCTCGCGACAGGCGCGTCTCGCGTTCGCTGCGCTTCGCGCTCGCATAATCGCGACCTCCGCGTGTTGTGTACGTGCAAAACCGATTGTGAGCTGACGAGCTCTGGCGTTTAATGCCGCCGAATTATGTCACACGGAAATAAAGATAATGCGATATCGCAACACCCGCACACGAGCGGCGAAGTTTTCTTGAAACCCGGCGTGTCGGCGTTACACGATGCACGTTGCGCGCGCTCCCGCGACCTCGCCAGGCGAGGAATTGCGTGATCGTTAAACTATTGCGCCACCGGATTGGAACACGAGCGCAAAATTAACGAGACGAGTGTGCGCGCGCGGCACACAGGTAACGGCGTCGAGGATTATTAACGTGCATAGGGCGTACGCCCGTCCTTCGATATCACGCGCGCCGCTCCTCGAGACCGATTCTCCCCCGAGTAGAGAGCCGACGTCGAAATCGTGTCGATGGAAAACGCGAATCCCGTTTCGTTTTCCGCGAATCTCGTGTCTCGTCTCAGTCGTACCGAAACGAGATATCGAAAACCGAGCCGGGAAATCGAGATCGGAAAGCGGGGAGCCGTAATTTGGATATTATTCAAATTTTCTCGGAGAACCCAGAAAACTTTCAGTATCGAAAGAGTATCGAAAGAGAAAACTGTCGCTATATCAGAGACAGTTTTACCGCTACTATTTTTATATATTCGAAGTTTCGACCTTCGGTACAGTTTATTTATTTATAACATGAACAGGCAAAAATTTCCTTTTTGTAGAAATAAAATGGGAGAAAAGTGCATAAAGTGACGATGAGGATGAAGAAGGGAAACAAAAAATCTACATTTTTACGCACTACATAATTCGATATCTGACGACGAAGTTCGAAGATTCGAAGTCGAATTATTCAAAGCTCTGAATATAATTTCTAGTCCTAATCGCTATCTTTGATAATTCCGGAAGAGAAGCTTATACTGACACCCCGATAAATTTTCCCCGACACCTGGAGTTGTCGGCGCGCGCGCACGTTCGAACTTTCGAGCGTTCCTCCTCCGTCGCGTTTTTGCGACATAAAATATTTACGAAGCGCGCAGTTTTACGTGAGCAGAATCTCGTTGCGAAAGAAAAGCCGGGGAAACAAATTCCGATGCGCCCGGACAATTACAAAGTAATGTCGCGTGAGCGACGTGAAAATTGTCAATTATGTGCGTCGTTTCGCGATCCGCGTGACACGAATTACGCTTTCTAATCTGCGCCAAGTAGAATGTCGAAAAGAAGCATTTCTCGGCAGCGAATCGAAATCGAGCGCTCGTTCACTCATCCCCCTCCTCTCTCTCTCTCTCTCTCTCTTCCTTCGACGCCTCTCAAAAACTCGACGCATCTCGCTCGATTAGGCGCGACCGGATTGAAGCACGAAAGCATACGAAATTAGTCGCGAATACGAGCGCATCGCGTTCGAATAACGTTGGTTCGCTTTTAGTCTCGGGGAGACGAGAAGAGAAAAACATTACCGTCATGTCGCACTTTGCAACGTCTCTCTCTTCTCTGCTTCTTCGCCGTTCTCTAAATCGCGGAAAAAGCGGGTTCGCGCTGCAAAAGGTTCGCCTTCTTGCGACGACAAATACGGTAACCCCGAGACTTCGATTCCAGCCGGCGGCTGCAGATCTTCGTTCTTTCGGCGCGACGGTGAAGTCGCGATAGGCGCACGTAGCATTCCCGCAATACCGGGCGACCCTTTTGCAGCCGTCGAGGAACGCTCGCACGCGGAGGACGCTCCTCCTCGCGCGACGACGCATCTTTCCGATACCGCCATTCGCGGCGCACGTACTCCCGGTGAGTCGATTTATCACTATTCGACCCAGTATGCCCCCGCTTCCTCCGCGAGATATTCTCATTTCTCCTAAATTCCCCCGGCGCGATCTTACCGTCTATGTATGCGTATGTATGCGTGCGTGGGGAGAAAGAAATTCTAGAACACAGAGTCTGGCCATCTGACCGTCCATGTTTGTCCATGGCTGAGCCAATCTTTGTCATCGAGTGTCACGAAATTTCATATGTAATGTAATAAATTTTCTTTCATCGAAAACGAAATATGATTTATGCTCTAAATAAAGCAACACTTTCACTCAAACAAAATAATGCTTCATATGAAATTATGTGATTTATATTAAGTTGAATGACAGAATCAATGAGTAGTATAAAAATACTATATATTAAGTCAATATTGCGAGAAATGATGTAACAATTTTATTTATCATAAAGATTGATTTTCTATTCAAAGAAATATATAATTTAGTCTATTAGGCAAATGTTACGCGACGCAATAGACATTGTTTTATTACAAAACTGTTACAGTGATCAGATTCTGCGTTGTAAAGATTCTAGATGGAAATAATCGAATTCCGGGCGTGTCGGCCGACACTGAAAAAAAAAAACAGAAAGAAGCTGTCGTACTCGCATGAGAGCCGAGGAGGAGATATCACGAAATTTCGTCACGGATTTATCTTGATTTGGATTTTGAATATGCTTCTCAGTTAATTACAGGCGCGCAGCTTCGTCCATCGTATGGCTTAATCATCCGTTAACGCAGAAGGGGGATCACAGAGAACCGATATCCGGTTTTAGTTTTTAATGTCTCGCTGCGATGATAGAGCGAGAGAGGTGTTTCACGCACGACTAAGTGGCGAATTCGTATCGAGTAAAAAATCGCAAAAAATACGGGCAGTACGTATATGGGTTATTAAATGTCCGCGATCCTTTAATTTTGATCCTTGTCATCATACAAAGTTTCTTCGGACTTAATATGCGTGTTTGTTTAATTTCGATTTGTTTAATAGAAACAACATAATTTCATATCAAATATCATATCAAATATCATGTCAAATATCATTTGAATGAAAATGTTGTTTTATTATAGTAAATCATGTTGTTCGATGGAAAAAAAAGCAGTATTATTTACAGGAGAAATAATATTTCGTTTTCAATGAAAAACATTTCTTAGATATTAGAGCAAAGGAAAAGAAGCTTTTTCTCGATGTAGAGCGAAATCACGTGATTGACGTCATTCGCGCGTGACAGCGTACACCGCCGGCGGCGGGATAATGCAGGTGCTACTCTAATTAGCGCGAGTGATTTGATTAATCGCGTGCTCACAACTGATTTATTGTATTTAAATATCATGCGTCCGCTCGCACACGCGCGGTCTCTTAAAATATAGATCACCAAACGATAACGTACGCACCATCGATAAAAATAGAAAGCGCGTCTTCCCGGAACGCGTGTTGTTCTCATTCGGAAACTGCGACCAGGGTGCAACGAAAACGAAAAAACATCCAGGTCTTTCGACATTAATTGGCCATAATTCTGCGATAAGAATCTAA